CATAATTAACCCTCCGTTTTATATAAACAATTTTAAGTGACGATTGAATTTCTGTCATTTTTCCTTCTTTTATATCCAAAAACAGAAAGGGTAGTTAGTTTATAGATGATTTGTTTTACAATTTAAAAGATGATGAAATGAGTTCCTCCTGAGGAGGAAAACGGTGTGTTGGATGCTATCTAAATGAATATGTTGGTGTTTTTTTTTACATAAGTGGTTAATCTAGTGACTGTAAATAATATACATCTAGAGCCACATACAAATAGTTCGTACCTTTGGCGTAAGGACTACAACACAGAAGACATCACTTCCAAAAACTAACCCGGCCATCCCCTTTTAAAATCTTTTAACCAGAGAGACATATAACATGTATTATTATACCTCTACTTATTTTACACTATACAAAAGTAACCACATAATCAAGCTATTTCCCCTCTAACTGCGTGCCAGGGAAATAGTTCGTCTGGAGGGGTGCGGTAGTTTTGAAACTATTTCCCTCGGAAAATGCGGGAAATTGAGTGACGTCGTAGGCGGGGCCTGACCGAATATTGACCAATCAGCGCAACCGAATGACGTCGGCAATTTCCGGCCAGCAGAGCCGGTACTTTCTGGACCGACCTTCACCTCACATTGTTGTTGACAGACGACAGCAGAAATGGCGACCCCCAGGTTTTCTGTGTTGAACGAGAGCGAGTCGTCGGACACACTGGAGGCAAAAGACAGTTGGCTAATTTTCAAGCAAAAACTGTGATTTATTGTTTATTGTACATGTGATATCCTTTATTTCATGTAATTCCGAAAACGGTTTTTTTCTGATGTTGATTCTCAAGAAACTTTTAGTTTTGTTAATAAAGTGTCCCAATCTTTTGAAAATTTGTTGTCTAATAATATTTAGAATATTGTAAGGGAGTGTTTGTATCGGTATAATATAACAGTTGAAGTATCGGTATTTCGGGAAATAGCAAGTTTATGATCCCCCTCGTCCAGGACTATTTCCCTCGACTTCGCCTCGGGAAATAGTCCTGGCCTCGGGGGATCATAAACTTGCTATATCCCTCATACCCATACTTTAACTGTTAACTATAATAAACAAAATTGACGATATATGTCTCTACGTTAATTTGACTCAATTTTCCGCCGTTATCTCACCTGAGGACATTGTTGTTAAATTGAAAATTGGAAGACACATAATCTACACCAATCTACATACTAACTTCAGGACCCCCTTGACCATCTGCTGGCATCCCTTTGGTGTCATACCTGTACACAGGTATATAGGTGTATCGTGGGCCTCCTGCTGTCCGCGCTGCGCACAGGTGTTTAGTGGGTTTTTTACCTGTATACAAATTTCATAACCAAGTATGCTAAGGGAGCGGATCGAGATGATTTTCATAATTTATCTAAGATTTTAAAATAAAAATTGTGTAGGCTACATGTATAGGGAAAAACAAAACAAAAAATGTTTAATCTCATAATTCAATGATATTTTCGAGATAAATGAAATTCTGGAATTAAATTATAAAAGTCCGTGAAATGTTTGAAATGTCGACCTAACTTAAGGAAGACACAATGTCGTGGATTTGTCATTAAACGGTGATACTAAAAATATTGACAATTAAAAACAGCAGACACCAACGTTAAAGTTATTTTGTAAACTTTTTCACTGACACCTTTTCGTATTTTTAGACCATAGAGGTACCACAGTATATAAAAAAAAATCAATTTAAATATTCCGGCACAGAAACTGGTCACGACGTAGTGCTGTTTCAACGACGACATGATTGGATAAGTTCTCTCTGTATAGCAGAAACATATAAATTATTTACGTCTCTATGTAGAGTAAAGAAAATGATTGCAAACTGACTTTCCAGCTAAAATTAAGAAATATCGCAACGGTGACATCGGGATGGCACGTTTGTCGAATGCGAAAACCTGAGTAGAATCAAGTATACATGTATTATGATATTCTCCGATTTTTCTTTTTCAAACACAAGAGCACCGGGATCAATATAAATCAACAAAAATGTCTACACAAATTCATATTTGTAACTCCATTATTTTTTTAAAATCGATAACTATACGTGCAAATGATTTTTGTTCCATCTATCACATGTGGAACCTTTCAAAAGATGGACATCTACATCCGTTCTAGATATTTCCAAACCCTGTGTACCGTCTATTTACCAATACAATTGTCAAATTTATTTTCCTGGTCATACCTTTTTAAATCCTACTTCAACTTAATGTAAACGGTTTTTGCCGGACCCCCACTTTCTGGAACCATTTAAATATTGGGCACCGGCACAGATTCTGTAGTTGCACGAAATGTTGTACTAATACTTTGTTCATGGTACTGGCTCGGAGGGAACACCACGTTCTATCTTTATGGCACCCCTTGTACGTGGAACCTTTTAAACGTTTGGCATCGGCTCGAGTTCTAGACCTATTTGGACACTAGACTCTTAAAATAATCCATTAATAAATGTTGTAGCGACATCATACTCCTTTTAATAAAATTTGAACAAAGCCACACTAAATTTGGTCAAAATCTAACAATATCTGATTGATGATCATTCAATATGAATTTGCTAAGTTTTTCTTTCTAATTCCAAACATCTATTTTACTACGTTTCTATCTACACATATAGATCCGGGCGCCTACCATCGAACCATCTTCATAGTTTTCATGTTCTATTGATCTTTACTATGCTTATCTCTTTTCTGTTGGAATAAGTCACGTAAACAATTTGTTAACTTATAGTAAATTTTCATAATTATTTTAAACTGATTTGTATGACATTGAAAAGTCAGGTTGTTGTGCTACATATTTATTATATGGTGCCCACTCTGTAAGAAGGAGAACCTAAATTTGAATTTGAAGAAAGATCTGTCTAGTATTTGTCAATAAATATGGATAACAAACTGTAACTGTCAAAATCAAGTATGGATGCCTTTGCGACCATTTTGTTTTTTCTAAACAGCCTTAATATGAAACATGCAAAACTAAGGCCATATAAAAGTAAACATACGAAAACGGATAAAGATCTATCAAGTACTTATTGAGAAATAGCGCTAACAACCTTTCAATCTCTTAATTCAAAATAGCAGTCTGTCACCTATCGTGATATCCTGATCAGACCCTTTAATGCATAACAGAAGATCACGGGAAAAATTCATGTCAAATTTGATAAAGATCCTCCCATTACTTTCTGTGAAACAATGTTAACATACTTTAACTCTCCATATTCCAAATGGCCGCTCGTCAACCAACTTGGTTTTAAACAGACACAAAATTTGACATTCATAACAAGAGACCAGAAAGATCCTTCCAATACTTTCTAAGAAATAGCACTAACACTATTCATCTTAATCTCAAAATTCAAACAAGAGGCCCAGAGGGCCTGTATCGCTCACCTGAATATGTTTAAAATAGTTGGCATGAAGTAAGGATATAGCACTCCATGTTAGGTGCTGTAAGTACATATGAAATTTCAGAAAGATCCATCCAGTACTTGAGATATAGCGAGAACAAATTTCAAACAGAGGCTCACCCCTATGCCCCTAGGAGGGTCATACCCACCAATTATACAAAATTGATTCTCCTTGGCCCACGCATGCTCCAGACTAAATAAGGATAAAATCCCCTAATCCCGATGGTAGAAGAAGGATTTAAAAGGTTTTTCCTCTATTTCTCCAATTGGGCCCCGCCCTTCTGCCCCCCTGGGAGACCACACCCACTGCTTATACGCAATTGAGTCCCCTTGGCCCAAGGATGCTCCACCAGACAAAATTAGGATAAAATCCCTTAAGCCCTGTGGTAGAAAAGATTACAAAGGTTTTACCTCTATTTCCCCTTTTGAGCCCCACCCCTCAGGTCCCAGGTGGGCCACACCCACTGTTTATTCCAAATGGGTTCCCCTTTATCCAATGATGCTCCACACTAAATATGGACCAAATCCTTTCATTCCTATAGAAGAAGGATTTTAAAGAATAATTTGCTATGTTTCCCATATTGGGCCCTGCCCCTCAGGCCCCTGCTCGGCCAGACCCACGGTTTATACAAAATTGGTTCCCCTTCACCTAAGGATGCTTCAGACTAAATATGGAACAAATCCTTTCGTTCATACAGAAGAAGAAGGATTTTAAAGAATTTGCTATATTCCCCCTATTCGGCCCCGCCCCTCAGCCCCCAGGGGGAACAGACCCGCCATTTATATAAAATTTGTTCCCCTTTCCCGAGGGATGCTTCTGACTAAATTTGGTCAAAATCTGCTCAGTCGTTCATGACTAGTAGCAATTTTTAGGAAAAGTTGACGGACGGACTACGGACGGACGCTGCGGACCAGGTGATCTAAAAACATGTAGCCGCTTGTCGGCCATCTTTGTTTTCATGTCAGATCCCAAATTCGTCACAAATATAATTCGTTTATTTCGTTAGTTAACTTACCTCACCAAGGTTAAAGCCCTGGTGAAATGTATTCATATGCACAATGCACTTGTGCAGTCTGAGAGGTCAAATGAGAGAAACACGCATGTGTGATGCTGTTTGTACTGTCAGGGATAATATATTTACACATGGTTATTAAATCATTTTTATCCTATGCATTGCACTAAACATAATTAATTTGCATATCCATTAATTGAGAATAAGGAAATTAAGTCAATGGGCCGATAGCGTTACTACATAGACATTTGTATTGACGTTATCACACCGATACAGTGTTTTCACCTCAGAATAACATTTATAAATGATATCCTGCTGTTGTTTATTATCAATTAGAACTCCACGTTCATCAAGAGATATCCTATACTCAGTGTTGGTATCCTGGATAGAAATCTTTTGAGGCGCCAAACAAGTACATCAAATCATCCGCATTTATAATGATACATGAAACAGTCGTAAAATCAATGTTTTATTTTTTTAATGTAAACTAGAGTAAACATTATTCCATCAAATATTCATTAGTTAATTGGGGGAATATCTAACACATAACACTGTACCGTGTTTATTTGTTTTAATTGAAAGTCTTATGTGTAAATAATACATCAAGATACGATCGATAGTAAATATGTCCAACAGTGGGAACATGTTATGGCAGGTAAGAGGAAGTATAGGCACACGACAGGTGATGGTTGCTGTCTGTTTATGGAATCCTCCCTAGGTGTAAACTGAGCTGTCGAATTTTGGTCTGGTTCTGTCCATTTGTTTTTATTTATATCCCCGGAAAGCAGTTTTTAAGACTGATGCACCCATTGTTCTTGATAAGAAATTAAAATAAATTATATAAACATCGAACACACATCTAAACTGTCAAAACATGACACTGACAGGATGATTTTCTGTGACAATTTACATCATACTATTGCCTTCGAAAGCCCGACATTTGTCCGATTTAAAATAAGCAGCCAATCGTGGCCGGGAACACATTCTGTCCTTGAAACTCTTCAAAGTTGGTATGTAGTCGGCATTATTCCAAGCGTCTGGAAACTGAGATTCTGTGGCCCTCAAAGCGTGCATTAAGCCCAGGTCCACATAAGTCAAGTTGTTCCCAAAAATGAAGCTGTTTAAAAGGAAAATTACACAGTTCATTTGATTGAAACGCAGACAGAACACCGACCTCCGTCAGTGAGTCGAAACCCGCATGGGTGAAGTCATGCAGGCGATTAACCCGTCTACCAATCAACCAAGTCATTTCATTGTCTTAACAATTATTTAAGATCAGTTTCTATGTACAATAACATATCAGACAAGATAATGTTATTATTCTACTCGAAAACTCTCTTTTTTGCATCATGGGTAATCGTTTATATTTACGCCACTTTCCGTTGGCTGAACAATGTCTCGCTTTTGACTTGGTGTCGAACGTTTGCCCAAGTGAGGAATGCAATGGGTTTCGTCCCCATGCCGGTACAGACCAAATTCCTTTTAATTGGTAAGTTTTATTTCCAGCTTAACGTGCATCATTTAGGATATTCGCAGCAACTGGTTTACCCATTTTCAGTATAATGTGATCGGGTGGAATGTTGTGATAGGTGTCTTTTACATGGTATTTTACTGAGATAGCTTTCTAAAGTCGGCATCAGATCGGCGCTAATGCAAGGAGGCAAATACACCAAGATACCGCCTCCAGCACACATGCACGCACACACGGAGGCACGTCATTAAATCACCCTAGCTGTTAATAGAAAATCAGTAAAAACAAATAAAACCGAGTCAAACCATTGGCAAGGAATGTTTGTCCCCACCACAACTGATCATCTGATATTTTGATTCGTATTTACAGTCTTATATGTTCTTTCTTTCGTTCGATATTTTCCATTGGATGAATAATGTTAATAACATGTATGTTGTGAAGCCTTTCAAAGATATCTGAAAACCAACGTATGTTAGGTCTCTGAAACACTTACCCCTTTCCTCCGTTGTTAGCCAGAAGAACATCTTCGAAATGCTGGAGCCATTTTGGAATTCTCTCGGCGACAAATCGTTCAATGTACGGTTTAGTTTCTTCAATCTGGTTGTAATAGGTCATGGTAGGGTTGATACCATGGAAACACAGTCTTCCTGTACAAAATTGTGTTCATCAGTTCATCAGTAGAAATCAAAACATTGTAAAGCGTACATATTAACATTAACCCAGACGCCTCACCGCCATTTAAAATACACATTTTATTTTAAAGTAACAGCGCTCTTAACCTCACACCCCCAAGGCAAAAGATATATCAATTTAATCAAATCAACGTGAGGAGTGAAAGAAACCAGACAACCAAAACGAGGGTTTATATAGTAATACATAAAAGACTTCGTAAATGGACAGAAAGACCAGGGCCCGTATTCGTGAAACAATTATCATGCTCGAGATTGGATTTTGCGCTCAAGCCTAATTTATCATTCCGGTTATAAATTAACAAAAAACGATTTGAAGATAATTGTAAGAGACTTAAAGCCAATGTTTGCATTTGACCCATCTGTTGTTTTATATGATTTAACTGAGTTAACAGGGAGTCGGTTTGAGCAAAATATCCATGCTTGAGCATGAGAACTGTTTCATGAAGATTGCAACTAAAGTATAAGGTAGCAAACTTTCTCTCGATGCGGGTATCTAACATGGTATATCATTAAACTAAACGCTTACTCTTTTGATTTATGCAAACTGGCCCCGCTTGAAAACATCGCAACTCTTGAGGTTCACACTTCTAAGTAGTGCTATGAGTTACTACAATGTACATATATAGGGCTGGACAAACAGAATGAAGAATACAATAGAAGAGACATCACTCTGTAACAGTGGATAAACATGTGTTATCTACCTTCCGCAATGTAGTCGTGAATTGTTGTGTTGATCTGATCAGCATGCCACTCGTCTACCTCATTATCAGGGTACAACCCAAACTTCTTGCCCAGGTATTTGCATATAGTGGGTGTTTGAGAAAGATGGAAATCGCCTGTAACAATAAGAAAGGAAGAAAAGAATTGTAAGATGATTTTGTAGAATTCGGTAAAACGTAATTTTTAGAAATTACTTCCTTAATTTTCGGTTATTTGAAGCAATCGTATTTTGTTCCGGGTGTAGGAATTAAAATTGACAAAGTCTAACAATGAGAGTGCTACAGGTATACGTGAGGTAATCCTTTCTTAATGAAGCCTAGTCTCTATAAGGACAATGAGTACCAAGGAGAAATGGTGACATACCCATTATATAACACAGGAGGTTATAATGCCGAAGTCTTTAGGTGCTATCCCTCTCATTATCAAACTCATTCTGAGAAATTGATCTTACAATTTACAAAGAACATGACATATTACTCTTACCATTCTTCAGAAATTATTGATAGATAACCGTTATACAGCAGAAATAACCATTTACCATTACATATAACAGGTGGAAACATCACCGGGAATCCTCCTAGTTTACCCTCCTTCACCTTTTCGGTTACAACCTGCCTATCATCGGTATCTTTGAATTCAACCCCAGCCTCCTAAAATATTACTCGCACGAATTCACCCCTCCCGACACAAGGCCAGAACAGCAACTCCCAGTTGTCAGCCATTTTCGACGTTAGAACCTGATTCAAACAACAACGAATAATTCGAAGTAATAAAGAAAGAGATGCCGTCTTCAATTTTATGAATAACCTCGGGGCAAAATAAAATATGAAAGCTGGCAAAACTGACTTTCGACGTCATAAGAATAGCCCTGAAATTGAACGACAGAACAAATTTAAGAAACATTTATAATACCGTTATACCAGTGTTAGTATATAGAGTATTTGATTTTACGGTAAACTCTCAAAGACTTTACACACAAAATCACCCTCTCACATTCTATGCTTCACAACAGAACAGACAAATGTTGTATGTTCTGATTATTGACCTTTGTTCTGATTCTTGACTTTGTTCTGATTTTTTACCTTTGTTCTGATTCTTGACCTCACACACTCGTTACATAATACACTAGATACACTTTATCAATAGACGAGTCTATATATGCAGTGTTCTAAATGTCTTAATATGCCGTTGCCTTTCTTTAATACTTTGTGGTATACCATTACAGCAAAATGTGTCGCACCTTACCTGTATCTGTCCCGACTTGTACCGGTTTTATACCTACACAGATAAAAGGTACACCCATTATATCTAATGTCACGTTGAATAACATATACCTCTCACATTAAGACGACACAACATACACTCACACAGTCGTACGTCAGTCACAACATGCACTCACACAGTCGTACGTCACAACATACACTCACACAGTCGTACGTCACAACATACACTCACACAGTCGCTGTCACAACATGCACGCACGCAGTCGTACGTCACAACATACACTCACACAGTCGTACGTCACAACATACACTCACACAGTCGTACGTTACAATAAACGCGAGCAATATAGTTGTATTCTTGACGACAACATCAACAAACGTCGATTGTTCTTATTCTTGATCGTTGTTCTGATTCTTGACCATACACTCTACATTGAGACAACAAACTCTGTATGTGTAGACCTCTTGTTTGTGTGATGTACACATAAACCTGTTAATACAAAATACACAACTGTGTACCTTAAAAAGTCATTGCTAATCATTTATACTTTGAGACAATAAAGAAGTAAAATTCCAGGGGTTACGCTCATAAACGCTATCTGCACCCCATAGATATATCATGACGAACTCGAAGGCACGTGGTTTAGCTATCTGACTGGTTTCATGTATGAAAACCTGGCCAATCGCTGGGCTGATATTTGTCTATACGGCTACTCGTATAATTTATATGAGGTGGCGCTTTCAGACCATTCGATTTTCTCGTTACATATCCCAGGGATGAAGAGAACGTACTGAAAAATTAAAAACAAATACTTTCATCATCCTAAATGGGTCAGCCATTACGTACTTTCCAATACAGGTAGTCGGTGAAAGGACTGGTGTTATTGTCAGTATAATGTAACCAGATGCAATCCTGTGCTGGGTGCATTTGCCATAATAAAGTGAAGTCATCCAGGGGTTACGCTAACTTTCGTAGAGCGAAAGTGAGCGTAAGCCCTGGATATCGAGGATGCCCTCCGGCACGCATGCATACAGTGGCACACGGATGCTAAACCCAAAACACCAAGAAAAACCACTCAATATCTAATCATACCCTGTTTATACCCTCACACAATATTGCACTTAATAAAAATAATACACAGTATTTAAGCAAACCTAGACACATCTTACCTGTATCTGTATCTTGGCCTGTATGGTACACACTGTCGATATACATAGCTACATGTGCGGCGACCCAAATTATTCTATAAATAGAACCGATATCCCAGCTAATTTTTGTATGTTTGATCAAGCCGATGATTAAGTTTGAACGTTCGACAGTGTTTTATGAGGGTTTCCTCGGGTTGACACAAGATGTAAATTGGCGCTGCTCCACTATATCCTCGTTTAAAATAGCATAGAACATTCCCTGAACCTGACAAACGTAGTTGTTGGTATACCGAAGGGTTTATTTGACTCACGAGAATGTCCTATGCAGTGGTTTTATGTCCAGACGTTGATGCATTTCGACTCTCAGCTGTTTTCTGAGATCTACAATTTTTAGAGTTAGAGTTGCAATACAGCATTGTTGACGCTGGTAAAACATGCTGATTAGTGACAGTTTCACAACGAATCAAAACTTTTAGAAAAGGGTACTTTAATTCATAAATACATATTACATCTCTGTTTATGCTGGTGTTCTTTAGACTAGATCCATGGTGCAACAAATTGGTTAGTATGACATTTACCGACTTGTAATAGGGGTCACAAAATAACCCTTATCAAGCGTGCAGGGCGTTGGAAATTTGACGTCTGCGTGGTGGAATTTAATGAGCGAAATAATATAAGCATCTATTTTTTTCTCCTGGTTTCGAGCGACTTTTACTGAAACCAGGAGATGCAGATAAGTTAATGTCGATTTTGATCAATATTAACATTTACACACGTTTCTGATCTCAGTTACCTCCCCTCGTACTCCATTCTGTACACAATCATGGTTCTCTCCCTTACTCTTGCGTGTAGTGATTTGAATGACCTTAGCTCTGACGTTCCGCAGAATGATATGTACATTTTGTAACGCAATAACTCTCTTAAACCAGTAAAATAATAAATACGAGAAAATGTATGTACCATTTAATTATCTAATATGCGGGGGTTTTCTGGTTCGATATTGGGGTTAGTGGATGTGTTGACTATTTCATCGGCAGCTGTGAGACTTGTATTCCAGTGTTAGACTCGGATAAAGACAATAGTTATATGACATTTGAAAATATATTTAGATATTGGTTTGTTCAAGGATGTTCCACTACCTTGTCTGAGGAATCATTGATGTCATAACAAAATGTTATTTTACATATTTCAGGTAACACCAATTATTGCACGAAAACAATTTATAACAAACATTTGTACAAAGCACATCAATTAATTATAACTCTAACCTCTTTTACAGATCCCAACTAGCATCTTTATGTTAACTTAGCTGGACATAGTTAGCTGTGTTAATTGACACTGTGTAGTCTTTCGTAACTAGTACAATGATAAATCTGCATTTAAGTAACTTTTAAAATTGGGATATTCCTGATTTAGAAAAAAAGTGTATTGCTGATGAAGAGCATGCTCGTCTCGTGCGCCGTCAATGGCGACGATTTCGTCAGGGTCCATGGACGTCAGTGTTGAGAATGGCCAACGTTTAGACGTGTACAGTGTGTGTATACGCTCAACATTCAATGGTATAACTTCACCAATGGTTTACTCACAAACCAAATCATATGAACCACAGCCTACAACCGTATAAACATCATCAGATAATTTATGACCTCACACCCTATACAGTATATAAAATGCTATTTATCTGTCAATGTTTCTTTTTTGTTGTACATACCTGTAAAACACATGTATATGTGTACGGTTTTAAAAGCCAAAAAATGTCATACACTTTCATTTATACCTGGAGACAGTATTTAAGCAAACCTTGACACATCTTACCTGTATCTGTATCTTGGCCTGTATGGTACACACTGTCGATATACATAGCTACATGTGCGGCGACCCAAATTATTCTAAAAATAGAACCGATATCCCAGCTAATTTTTGTATGTTTGATCAAGCCGATGATTAAGTTTGAACATTCGACAGTGTTTTATGAGGGTTTCCTCGGGTTGACTCAAGATGTAAATTGGCGCGCTGCTCCACTGTATCCTCGTTTAAAATAGTATAGAACATTCCCTGAACCTGACAAACGTAGTTGTTGGTATACCGAGGGTTTATTTGACTCACGAGAATGTCCTATGCAGTCGTTTTATGTCCAGACGTTGATGCATTTCGACTCTCAACTGTTTTCTGAGATCTACAATTTTTAGAGTTAGAGTTGCCATACAGCATTGTTGACGCTGGTAAAACATGCTGATTAGTGCCAGTTTCACAACGAATCATAACTTTTAGAAATGGGTACTTTAATTCCTAAATACATATTACATCTCTGTTTATGCTGGTGTTCTTTAGACTATATCCATCCATGGTGCAACAAATTGCTAAGTATGATATTTACCGACTTGTAATAGGGGTTACAAAATAACCCTTATCAAGCGTGCAGGGCGTTGGAAATTTGACGTCTGCGTGGAGGAATTTAATGAGCAAAATAATATAAGCATCTATTTTTTTCTCCTGGTTTCGAGCGACTTTTACTGAAACCAGGAGATGCAGATAAGTTAATGTCGATTTTGATCAATATTAACATTTACACACATTTCTGATCTCAGTTACCTCCCCTCGTACTCCATTCTGTACACAATCATGGTTCTCTCCCTTACTCTTGCGTGTAGTGATTTGAATGACCTTAGCTCTGACATTCCGCAGAATGATATGTACATTTTGTAACGCAATAACTCTCTTAAACCAGTAAAATAACAAATACGAGAAAATGTATGTACCATTGAATTATCTAATATGCGGGGGTTTTCTGGTTCGATATTGGGGTTAGTGGATGTGTTGACTATTTCATCGGCAGCTGTGAGACTTGTATTCCAGTGTTAGACTCGGATAAAGACAATAGTTATATGACATTTGAAAATATATTTAGATATTGGTTTGTTCAAGGATGTTCCACTACCTTGTCTGAGGAATCATTGATGTCATAACAAAATGTTATTTTACATATTTCAGGTAACACCAATTATTGCACGAAAACAATTTATAACAAACATTTGTACAAAGCACATCAATTAATTATAACTCTAACCTCTTTTACAGATCCCAACTAGCATCTTTATGTTAACTTAGCTGGACATAGTTAGCTGTGTTAATTGACACTGTGTAGTCTTTCGTAACTAGTACAATGATAACTCTGCATTTAAGTAACTTTTAAAATTGTGGTATTCTTGATTTAGAAAAAAAGGTGTATTGCTGATGAAGACCATGCTCGTCTCGTGCGCCGTCAATGGCGGCGATTTCGTCAGGGGCCATGGACGTCAGTGTTGAGAATGGCCAACGTGTAGACGTGTACAGTGTGTGTATACGCTAAACATTCAATGGTATTA